GTATTTAGGTGACATGGTTTTACATTGAATGTGGGAAACAGCACACAAGTAAGTAAACAAAAAGCTAACGTTCTTACTTGGAAAAATGGAGTAGGGGTCATGAGTTCAAACACCTACTTAAATGCTTTTGGTGTTTTTTATTTTTCATCAAATTATATTTAAGAAGATTATTGTGATAAAAAACTAAAACCACAAAAAGAGTGCAAAGTGTTTAACAAAAATATACAAAAACTGTAATCAGCTTGACCACATTGATCCCAGATGCAGTTCTTCTCCTTACCAGGTGGTAGCAGCACCGAGTCTTCATGTGAGCCTACATCGCCCCGCCCCCTAGACGCTTCAAACTTCCGCTTTTTGACGCACTGTTGTTGGACTACAAGAGACATTTGCAAGTTTTCCATTTGTTTCCTCACTTTTACTTTTTGTAACATCGGATGGGACATGGCGAGAGTTTTTCTGGCAGGAAACCTGAGGAGGTGCATCGTCTCTCAGATCAGGATGTCATCTGATCAGGTAAACTGGGAGGTTTAGTGATTTTATTTTTTATGTTAGCGTTTTCGCCCAGACGTGTATGGTTGAAATCAGACAAACAAAAGTTAATACGACAGCATGGAACTTCTTACTTGTTACAACTCGTTTATGCAGTCATGTTTACAAACCAGTTAAATTAGGAAATCAGTTAAACATACTGCAGTTTTTGACAGTATAAAATTAATCGATTAACTTGTATTTTTTTCCAGATATGTAAAGTTAAATAGGTTAATATTGGATTTAAATTAAATATGTCTTGTTTGAGGTGGATAGTGTTTGTTTTGCTATTTTAATTGAGGTTTTATTCAAGGTTTCATGCACCATGTTTAAACTTGTCTGCAGTCTGCACGGTGTGTATCGTGGAAACGACATTGTATTTGTTTTTATTTGTATGCATGGCTTCAATCCAACCCCCTACCTTTGACACACATTGCACCAGCCCCTCCCCCAACTCACACAAACACTGGATCAGTCAGCCATTCATTCACTGCAGGAATGGTCGTTCAGTTGCAGAGCTGCCAGCTACATTTAAACCGCATTCCAACTATTCTCTCAGATTTGCAAGTCTTTACATTGTATCTACTCAAACGTTTTGCAACGTAATGGACATATTTTGATCGCTTTTTGAACTCTGCTTTAAAAGCACGAGTGTGGGGGTGGAGGTGGCCTTTACCGTAATCATCATAGTAAAAGCGCACTCCAAATTTTGCGTCTAATTCTACTGTAAAGATACTAAATGTGAACAAAAAAATGAACCATTTATGTTTATATGGCAATAAAACTGAACTTTGACCTTAAGCCGTTGTGATAAGAGTGTAAAGTGAAGTTGAGGTGAGTTGCCTGATCAATTGTGTGGTGGTCAGGGAGTGCAGGAAAATTTGTTTTTGTGACATACACACAAAAAACACCACTTCTTTAGGTTTGATGTTATATATTTCAGATTAAAATCTGAAGCCTGCTGCTCTGATCTTTGCCTTCAAATACAACGAGGAGGCTTGGATAAAGTGTTGACGTGCAGCAGTAAAATAGTTTATAAATATTTTTACATGGCACTAGGGTTGGGCATAATCGTATCGTTTGCGATTAATCGTCAGAAAAACATTAATCGATTATTTTTTGGCACTTGACGATTAATAGCAGAGTCCGCTCGGTGCTCCTCTCCGCTTCAAATATGACAAACATAAAAAAAAGTTCTGTAATTTAATTATCTATCAACACAATTTAAAAATTGATGTATAGCCTGAAGTCTGTGATTTTGACACAATTTGGAAAAGATTTTATGAAAAGAAAATCTTTCCCACTAAATTGGTCATGTGACRAGGACATAAAGGTGTGCAGGGACTCCAGGGGGTTAATCGTCAAATTAATCGTTATCGGCTAAATACCACAATTAATCGTGATTAATTTTTTTTGCAAATATTGCCCAACCCTAGCACTCAGGATTCTCAAAACCTGGGGTTTGAAATGCTTAAATGTGAAATGCATAACCAAAAAGCATGAACACTGCAGTCATTAATAGAAGTTAGTTGGGATTAGGATATTCTAAAACAAAAATTGCATCATTAAATCCAGTGAGTTTGAGCCATTCTTTGCAAAAATGGGTTATTTTTCTTTGTCCTTTAAAATATTTTATTGATTTAAAAAAGAGAAAACTCATTAGCCTGTTTTATTCAAGGCAAATGAGCCTTTTACTATTTTATTTGCCTTTTCATTACATAAAAACTGTTCCTTTTATTTTAATAACCGCTACAAAATACCGTAAGTCTTCACAAATAATTCACAAGTATATTTTGTGTTCATGTATGGTTTATTTACCAGTAAGTAAAAAAAGCTTAAACACTTTATTAGCTGTCTTAGGTTTACATATCAAAGAAAGATAGCTGCACATTGTGAGGCTCATTATGGAATTGTTAATAAATGTAAATGTTTGTGTATTCCAGCTTGGCGAATTGGGAAAGGGGGCAGGAAAAGGTGGCGGTGGAGGAGGCTACATCAGGTCAGCGGGAGGTGCGTTCGGAAAGCGAGAAGCGGCGGAAGAGGAGCGGTACTTCAGGTTTGAAGTGGGACCATGAAAGCTAAAACCTGCGTGGCTCTGGTGTTCTTTTTTGACTTTCTTTGTTTCCGACTGCAGGCAAAAGGAGAGGGAACAGCTGGAGGCGCTGAGGAAGCACCACACAGAAGAGATTGATCACCACAAAAAGGAGATCGAGCGCCTACAGAAGGAGATCGACCGCCACAAGGGCAAAATCAGAAAGCTCTCGCACGATGACTGAGGCAGCCTCGTGTCATTTATTGCCTGAGTGGAACCACTTGTAAACAAGGCCTTATCTTTTTTCTTTTTTTTTTTTTTTTGCTTGACCAGGTCTTAAAAGTCAAGATATATATCTCTTTATGGTGTTGAAACAATAAAGTGATACCTCTTCCAGCATTGTGAAACTGGCTGGTGTTTATTCATTTTCATCTTCTAAAGTGCACCGCCTGAATTAACTACCCTTTTTTTTTTATCTCCAGCAGCTCTCCAGCTGGTATTTTATGCCAATTTGATGGGTTTTTTTTTTTTTGTTTCAGAGACATGAAAACGTCTTTTTTTCTTCAATACTTTAGGTTATTCATAATTTGTAAAGTAAAACTTGCCTGAAAGTATCAAAACTACAAAAACTGTTTTGAACTGGACTAATTGAAAAACACGAGTTGTAACAATATGATAGTCTGCGTCAGGGCTGATTGAATTACATTTAAATGGCTGTTTTCTCGAGATTTGACTGTGTTTACGTCCTCTAGTAAATCTATTTTATCTGTAACGTGAACGTAACGTACCCGTTGCCCTTCACCACAATTCCCGTTCAGTTCTCGCGATGTTTCGCGCGCGGTTGCGTTGTTCGGGGCGAGCCGACGACAAGACCGCTGGTCGTCTGGAAAAAAAATTGTCTCGTGGTCTTGTTATAAACAATTTTCTTTGTAGGCTTTTCTCGTACGCGCATCAAACTAATAATTGCACCCTATAAAAAACGCTCCGCTTTACTTCCCGGATCTTGCTGGTGAGTCTTGCTAACTATTTGTTTGGACCTTTTGTGCGTTTTATACGTGAAATGTGTTTGTCGGCTCGGCGAGGCCTACAAATGAGGCTTCTGTTAGCATCAAAGCTAACTATTAACGCTGTTTGCTCCAGAACCTCAAATATATGTTTTTACGTGTTTTGGCTCTGAAATGGCAACTAAATGTCGTGTTTGAATTAGTAAGACATTTTGTTTCTCTAGCAAAAGCCGGTGCATATAAAAAAATTTAGAAATACGTATTCACGTAGTCTGGCGGGTTAGCAGGCTGCATGTGAAGGGGGCGGGACTGTAGTGTCGGTGAATTACTTTTTAAAGAAAACCGGCTTAAATTACCTTTTACAGAGACAAAATACCTCGTAATTTATTATTAAACAGTATGTGTAACCTATAGAGAAGCCCACACATACAAATGCTTCCTAATGAATGTAATCTAATATGATATAAACTATTAACCTTAGGTCCTTTAATTTTTTTTACTAACTTTTTTGAAGTTTGCAGATTGGTAGTGTTAAAAGTAATATAACAAGCTAATGTTAGGATTCTTATCTGTCAGTTTCAAATGGGGAGGAATACTTAAGAAAACTGAAAAGTGTATTACATACACTCTTTATAATTTTTTATTTATTTATTTTTGCTTTCTTGATTGTTGTGTTACTGAAGAATGGCTGCTGCTGAGGTGAATGGGAGTTCTGCTCCGGTAAAGGAGGAAGAAGAGCCCATGGACGTCTCAGTAACGCACACAGAAAACTACCAAACGCTCATTGATGCTGGGCTGCCTCAAAAAGTGGCTGAAAGTCTAGATAACATCTTCCAGACTGGTAAGCAATATTTATTCCCACAAATCTTCTCCAAAAGGAAGAACAGCTTCTTGTAGTTGTTTAATTGTACCGTGTGTTTCTTTCTTGCAGGTTTGGTGGCCTATGTTGATCTCGATGAGAGGGCGATCGATGCTCTTCGAGAGTTTAACGAAGAGGGAGCGCTTACCGTGCTGCAGCAGTTCAAAGAAAGTGACCTATCTCACGTGCAGGTATCCCCTTGGATAATGGTTTTAGCTGAATTTAATGCTACTGAAGAACGTTGTGCCTACTATATCGTTTTTTCCCCTTTTTTGTCGAAGAATAAAAGCGCATTCCTTTGTGGAGTCATGAAGACATACAGACAGAGAGAAAAACAAGGAAACAAGGTCCAAGAATCTACCAAGGGCCCAGATGAGTCAAAAATCAAGGTAACTCATTTACCAGTCATGTAATGGAAATTTATGCTAAGCTCTGAAGATGTAATTTAGTTATTTTATTCATTATTATTATTTTATAGGCTTTGCTGAATAGGACAGGGTACACTCTGGACGTGACTACAGGCCAGCGTAAATATGGAGGCCCCCCACCTGAGGGCATATACAAAGGCTCACAACCAGGGATTGGAACTGAGGTTGGTGTTATTTTTAATCGGTTGTCTTTAAGTGTATTTAACGTGTCCAAACTTGGGCCTGTATGTCCTGACGCATCTCAGTAATCCAGGTAGAAAAATCAAAAAGAAAAATAAATTAAGTCGGTCATGGTTACGTTTCATTTTCTTCTGTTTCTTTTAGGTGTTTGTAGGAAAAATCCCAAGGGATTTGTATGAAGATGAGCTTGTGCCTCTCTTTGAGTCTGCTGGACCTATCTGGGACCTCAGGTTAATGATGGACCCTTTGTCTGGTCAAAACAGAGGTTACGCTTTCATCACGTACTGCAATAAGGACGATGCACAAAGGGCTGTGAAGCTTGTGAGTAGGCCTTATAAGTCACACTGCGAGTCATAACATTATTGCAGTTTTCAACAACGCAGTAATATTGCATATTCTTGTCTGTTTTTTATGACCACCATAAAATCAATATGTGACTCTTTTTCTTTTTGTAAAACTAACTACAGTTTCATGATGCAATACGTAAAAATTTTGGCTTGATTTTATGTCCCCTGTTGTGTTTTCAGTGTGATAACCATGAAATCCGCTCTGGCAAGTTCTTAGGGGTTTGTATATCTGTTGCAAACAATCGCTTATTTGTCGGGTCAATTCCAAAGAACAAGACAAGAGAAAGTATACTGGAAGACTTTGGCAAAGTGACAGGTTTGTTTCAAGTGCAAATTAACGGATGGGTTGTTTTTTAACAGAGGTGGTATTTTATTTCGGTGTTGCCGTTTTATCTTACAGAGGGTCTGCAAGACGTGATATTGTATCACCAGCCAGATGACAAGAAGAAGAACCGTGGTTTTTGTTTCCTTGAGTACGAGGACCACAAGTCTGCAGCACAGGCCCGCCGCCGCCTAATGAGTGGGAAGGTTAAAGTTTGGGGGAACCCTGTCACAGTGGAGTGGGCTGACCCTGTTGCTGAACCAGACCCAGAAGTTATGGCCAAAGTTAGTAATTTCATTTAAAAACGAAAACACACAATTAAACACCTAACTAGCTCGTTTGTGACATCTGTGCTCTCTGTGATTATAGGTAAAGGTGCTCTTTGTAAGGAAGCTGGCTACCTCTGTGACTGAAGAGCTTCTTGAGAAGACATTCTCTCAGTTTGGAAAGCTGGAACGAGTAAAAAAGTTGAAAGACTACGCTTTTGTCCATTTTGAAGATAGAGATGCTGCTGTAAAGGTGGGTTTATGTGATGTCAGAGCACTTATTTTTTGGTGATGAAGTTTTGTACTTGAGGTAATGAATCCTGCTTCACGGTCAGGCCATGGATGAGATGAATGGAAAAGAGCTCGGAGGAGAGAACATTGAGATTGTTTTGGCAAAGCCCCCAGACAAGAAAAGGAAAGAGCGCCAAGCAGCTCGGCAGACCACCAGAAGTGGCGGGTGAGTCAAACGGAGCAGTGTTGTTTTTGATTACCACTTTAATTTTAGTCTTAGTATTTTGACCAAAAATACTTATTAGTTTTAGTCATTTCTATATTTAATGGTTTCAGTTGAGTTTTAGTCGACGAAAGCTTTAAAAATTTGCTTAGTTTTAGTTTTAAAAAAAGACAACATATTAGTCTTTACAAATTAATTTGAGTAATTTGTGTTAACATTTGTGAATTTGTGTTACTCTAAAAATGCCCAAAACAAAAACATTCTCACTTTGTGGCTTTATTTCTCAGAATTTGCTAAAGTGCAATGAACATACACAATACACATGCCCAATCTTATAAGCAATAAAGGGGAACACACATGTTCAACTCAAACTTGTCAGCCAGGACAATGAAGATGCATCTTATAAAAACAGACATCATGCAGTCCTAAACTTAGTTGGTAGACTATTAAACTTGTGCAAACGAGTGTTTACATGCACCAGGCTTTTATTCAGAACAGAGGCACTGACATGCGCAGTTGCTAACTCCCCCTCCCTCCACTCTGCATTCTAAATGATTGACAGACCACCGACTAACATTTTCGTCCAGTCTCGTCTCGTCAACGAAAACTCACACACGTTTCGTCACGTCTTAGCCATCAAAGAGCTGTGTTTATTTCGTTACCGTCTCATTATCGTCATGAAAAAGGGGGCGTCAACGAAAATATTTCGTCATCGTTAACGAAAAAAACCCACTGAAACTGAGCCATATAATTGGTCAGCTGCCCGACTGATTTCTGAAGCATCAAATGCATAATGCTCTTCTTTTCTGCAGGTATGACGATTACTACTATTACCCACCTCCTCGCATGCCACCACCAGGCCGAGGAAGGGGTCGTGGTGGGCGTGGGGGCTATGCCTATCCCCCTGATTACTATGGCTATGAGGATTACTATGATGATTATTATGGCTACGACTATCATGACTACCGTGGGGGCTATGAGGACCCTTACTACGGCTACGAAGACGTGTACAGCATGAGAAGCCGTGGCACTCGTCCCAGCAGGGGTGGGCCTCCGCCACCGAGGTCACGCGGGGCTCCGCCGGCACGAGGCCGGGGCGGCTTCGCCCAAAGAGGGCCTCCCCTCGGTGGTCCGCGAGGCGCCCGCGGAGGCAGAGGAGCCCCCTTCCAGCCTCAGAGGGGCCGTGGTCCCCGCGGCGCCAGGGGCAATCGCGGGGGGAACGTCGGCGGAAAGAGGAAGGCGGACGTGTTTAACCAGCCAGACTCCAAGCGCCGCCAGACCAACAACCAACAGAACTGGGGGTCCCAGCCCATCGCCCAGCAGCCCCTGCAGCAAGGGGCCGACTATTCCGGTAACTATGGGTACAGTAATGACACCATGGAGTTTTCACAGGATTCTTATGGGCAACAGTGGAAGTAGATGCACCAAAAGGTATTTGGCAACAACATAAAAAAGTGGAAAACAACAATATAAAGAAAAAAAACATCAGATTGGCCACAATTTTTTGATTGACTTTTTATTCTTCTTATTCTTCATCTCTTGTGAAAAAAAAAAATCTGTATGTATCCCAGAAAAAATGGACAGACTGCAGAATTGGCTCAAGATGATTGGCTGGAAATCCTTTTGGCTGAAGAAATGAACGTAACTGTTGTGGTGAATCATTTCTTCCTCCTACAGTTACATTGGGACATGTGTTTAAATAAAAGTACAAAACACTTTTATTGTTACTTTTTGTTCCTCGTTATTTTAAAGTCAACGAACATTTAGTAAAAGAAAAGAAAAAAGTGGACATTAAGTTTCATAAATTTGAGAGGACATCAGATAGTGCGTATAGCCTTGCAGAAATTTCTTTTGTCCATGTCTCCATTTCCCCTCCCTTTATTGTACTCCCTTAATTTGTGGTTTCTTGTAGTTGCTTAGGAACTTGCTTGTAAATAAATGCATATGGTTAGCGCTTCATACTTCATTTTCTTTGCAATGGTGGAGAAAAGAATCCACAAGAAGGAATAAAATCAAGTTTTGTAACGTTCAAAGTGTATGCCTAGCATTTCTAGAGTTAGACAAATTGTTTTTTTTTAACCTGATACCATAACTTCCTTGTTTTCATTAAACCTGCCCAGTAGAATTTGGTTTGGCTTACCTTAAGAGCCATAGCAGTTTGTTCTCTGATGTTATTTGTATTTATAACTTTTACGTTTGTTAAGTTTCAATAAAACTCAGCTGAGCATCAGTCAACTGTCCAATACTCAAATTCAGTGTTGTCCTTCACTCGATTTGATTCATAACCTCAATTCTCTCATCTCTTTCCCCCCCCAAGCCAAATTTTTCCCTCAAAGGAAAACTGCAAAAGACTGAAATTGCACAGAAAATGGGACAGGAGAGCCAAAGATGGATGATAAAGTGCTCTAACTGGATTTTAACCCTTTATTCTTCAGTGTGTGCTCAAACTGCCATGATCAAAACCTCCCATAATAATAAAGAGCATACTATTAAGGTGACTACGCACCATTCCCCATGATTGTTCCCATTTCTCGGTAGAGCTGTTCAGTAAAAATAAGCCTATTTACATTAAATCACCTTAGCTAATTATGATGAGAATAAACTTTATTTACTCTTGCAAGATTTAGCAGTGCTTAAATTTAATGAAATTCCAAGAATTATTTTTTTTCCTGCAAATTCTTAATGCTTAATTTTTAACTCACTATATTGTTTTGGCACAAACATTTCATGTAGGTGCAGTTTGTCTGAGATGGGCTGACATCTACTGCATGTTTTAGTCACCGCCACACAAATTTTAACGACCAGAACAATTTTGGAAAACGGTGAGACGTCACTTCAACCTAAACGCACACAAACAGAAATAGGTTTCTTCTTTGTTTGCCGAGTTGTTTTGACTTTTTAATTTTGTTGCTTCCAAAATCAGCACATCGCTTCAACCATCTTTTCTCTGCTTTTGAAGACGTCTCGGATCTGTCCATCCAAAGGGTTAAAATCTTTACAAATGTGCTCACGCCCTTTAGCAAGGAAGTGCCTAACAGGATAGAGTAGTCTTTAAACATGTTGGTATTGTGTTGTCTTTTATTTTTTTTAGTTTGTTTCATATGTCTATCCTCTTATTCCAACCTGCCTAGGTGGAGAAGCAAAGACGGCACCACTAGAATGAGGAACTCACCTGAACGGTACTCAAGGGTGAGCTAGCCTTGCACAGAGTACTGTCTCCTCTCCTAGTTCATTGTAATCACTGGAAAAGCATAATACTTTGTTCTTTTTTAATCTTATAAACTCTCCTGTGAAAAAAGATTGTTGTTTTAGGAGAGTGATTGACCTTTTTTCCATGCTCTGAAGACCATTTATGAAAATTGACAGAAGAATCAGAAATTTTTTAATGTTGGGCTCATTTAAAACTCATCCAAAACAGGTCACATCCAATTTTAGGAGTGAAATGGCATCTTTTTTTAAAAATTGAATCAAAAGGCAGACAGTCGCAGATTTTGTAAGAAAACCAAATCTCGGCTCACTGCACCAAAAATCACCTCAGCTGCACACATGATCTGGGAATGGCGGGCTGGAGAATTGGGGATTTCCTCGTGCCACTAGAGGTAGCATTGTACAACTGCAGCACTGATTTTCTGTTCTTCGCTGCACATTAAGAGCCGGAAAAGACTTAATCTTTAATTCTATTTGAACTTCAAAAGGATGCTTTTCAATTTTCTGCACATTTCAGTGAGAAATCCGAATAAAGTAATTCTGAAATTGGCTGGTTTTTAAACAATGGCCCCACCTCAAATCAAATGTCTTTGGTTGTTAATACCACCAGATGGCAGTATGAGGCCCGCTTTATTTCACAGGTAAAACTGGGATGTAGGAACCAAAAAAAAAAAAAGCTCGACATGCATCAATGCCCATAAACAGCTTTTCATGTCAGAACTGTTTTCATATGTTACCTCTTGTCACCAGGCAGTAAAGGAGCTGCCCACATCCAAGTGAATGAGTTCACAGAATTGGAAATAACTGATTGGTAAGGCTTTATCATTAAACAATGCTCAGAAAACAACACATATTAAACCAAAATGTTGGATGTCACAAATTTACTATCCCAGAGCAAGTGAGTTATATATATATATATAGTTTTTTATCAAAATAGCCTTATTATAAAGGCGTCTGTTATTCTAATCTGGGTTGGATGTTCATGATGAAACAGAATAATAGATTTTTTTGCACGTGGCCATTTTTTTCTTCCTTTTCTTTTAGTTCCAGGTCTATTCAGTTGTGGCAAAGGTGTGCAAACCAGATCCACTGCAGGATTCAAAATGCCTCAAAGGAGTAACCAACACTGAAGTCCAGAGGCAGTGGTTTTGCACCAGCTGGTGTGAGGTAAGTTAGGAGTTAGAAGAAATGTAGTCTTTATGATGCTTGTTTTTACCACAACAAAAAAAGGGGATGAGATAACTGAATCACCACAACTTGTTTTGTTTTTTACTTAGGGCAGAAAAGGAGGATACGTGGACTCTAGGTTCATCTTCCACGACCTGCTTCAAAGACATTCAAAGAACATGGAAAATGTCAAGTTTTTGAATGTAATGCATTATCCAAATAAATGCCTTAATTTTTGCTAATGTATTTCTATTTCAAGTGGACCTTGTGATAGTCTCTTTTTGCCTAGTCTAAACTGTGGACAGTTTATCACTGCACACCTCATCAGATGCAGATAGGCGCAGTGAAAATCAACCGCGCATCACTGAAAACTTCTGCAAATACAGCTCATCCACTCCGAGTCATCGAAGAAAGACAAATCAAATGTTTGAGGAAAGAAATTAGATTAGCAGGCCAAACTACTTGGACATGGTCCAGTGAATTATTTCAATGTTCACTCTGAAAGACTAAAAATTTAACTAAAACGTTAATTAAGCACAATTTTAAATAGGTGACAAATATTAATGCACTTGGTTTGCTTTAGTCTGTTCAGCTACACACTTGCAGCAAATTAGTATATATATTAGTAAAGCTGTGTCGAAATGTTTTGTGTATTCGTTTTTATATGAAGCCTTCAGCCGAACGTTTCAGGTTTATTTGTGATAATTTTCAATGCACTACTCACGCGACAAAGCGACGTTTCAAAGGAGAATGTGAAAAAAAAAAACAGGTCTGCACCATAGAGGCATGGTTTGCGCCACTAAGACGTGGTCACGTGACTTGTTACGTCGCATGTAAACCTGTGCGAAGATGGCGGCCGCCGGAGGAGAGCAATCGGCTCAGAGTGTGTCGGATGAATTATTTCAAAACTTTTACACGGAGGTCTGTCAGAAATTGGTGTAGTTTATACTCCGTAATAACACAAGTGCGATGGTGAACTTGCATAAATTATTTAGTCGGTCGCTCGTTAGTATTTTAGATACGAGGCCTGAAGCTAATGACAAAATGCTAACGTGTTTGGTTGCTGTTTAATTTGTGAACCTCTTTTGGGCAAGACTTGTGTAAACTTCTTCTGTAACCTACTATAAAGTAGCTACAAATCGCTGAAATAGTTCGTGATGTATATGATTTATTCGGGTATTGTAAGATAATAACCCATCAGCTCATGCTTGAGTAACAAACGAGGTGCTAAGATACAGCACACCTTTCACTTCCCACATTAATGCTTGTTCTTTTTACTCCAAGTGACAAACGTATTTGATTTGTTCCCATTATCTTTTATATCTGTACAGGTGAAGCAGATAGAGAAGAGAGACTCTGTTTTAACCTCCAAGCAGCAGATTGACAGACTGCTCAGACCTGGATCATCATACTTTAATCTTAACCCCTTTGAGGTAGCAAAGTCCACTAACACTGTGTGTGTGTTTATATA